AACAATCTGTATAAAGAACTTGCTTCTGGGCTTCATATGACAGCTATGGTAGAATATCATCCTGAAAAAGATGAAGACACTTTTGACCAACTACTTATTTCAATAGGAAATAAAACAATAGAGATCCCTCTAATTGGGTAGGTATTCTTTATATTTCATGCTAACATTTTTGAGCACTCTTCAAATAAAAATAAGAATCAAAGTAGTGTTCTATATTTTCTCTAATAGGGCTTGTTGTAGCTATAGTTTCCTTTAAGCTGAACTTAAAGGACAAAGTTTTAACAAATTGTGTTGTTCAAAACAAATGGAAGACTAGTTTTCTGGTATTTTTAATTAGAATAACTTAAAAACATTCAATAGTTGCACACATTTTTTTTCTCGACCTCACATCCTATTTTCTTCCCATCATATTTTTTTTTGTATCTTTTGACAGTAATCATGAAAGAAAACTCTTTTTCCTATCTTCACAGTCCCACTTTCTATTCTCACTTCAACAAACTCTGATAGGATGCCTTCCTAAGCTTTCCAATGAAACAGCTCTCACGTATTGCCAATCTATTGATAACTCCTCTGTCTCTATGTTACTCCACATCTCAGCAGCATTAGAAATAGTTAACCATTATTGCCTTTTGGGGCCACTTCACTCTCCATTCTCTGACTTCCCTGCTACTATAGTTCTTCATCGGCTGCTCTTTCTCATCACACTTTCTTTTTTCATAATTGGAATATGATTTACATATAACATCGTGTAAGTTTAAGTTGTACAACATGTTGATGCAATACATTTATGAATTGCAGTATGTTTATCACCCACCATAGCATTAGCTAACAACACTATCACATTACATAATTGTTTCTTTTTTGTGGTGGAAACAATTAAGATCTAGTTTCTTAGCAACTTTGAAGTTGATAATACAGTATTGTTGACTATAATCACTATGCTGTATATTAGGTCTCCAGGACTTATTTATCTACTAGTTCCTAGTTTGTACCATTAAAGAGCATCTCCCCAATTCCATCATGCTCAGCTTCCAGCAACTACCAGTCTACTGTCTGTTTTTATGGTGAATGTATTCTTAAATGGATTACGGTGGCTCTGTATTCACATTTTAATATACTTGTTATTTAATAGTAAATTATTGTATATACTTCACTGAATTTTAAGTAATTCAGATGTTTGCCTTCAAAAAAATAAAAATAGTGCTCTTTGGAGATTGGTTGAAAAATGTGGACTGATATAATGAATATAACACAGAGCTAAGTAACTTATTTGGAGATTAACTTTGATACAAATTATTTGACCAGGATATTATCATTTTCATTTTATACTGAAAAATGTATGGTTCTGTTCATTGTGAAATTACCTGTTAAAGTTAGAGTCACAATTTAAAAGTTTTTTTATTCATATGCGTGTGTGTGATCCTCCTTTTCCCCAACAAAATGCCATTCCATAGATGTGATTCTTTTGTTGCTATTTGTCCAACACCAACAGAATTAATTTTGGAATATTAATATTAATATTGGCATTAGACATATGCCTGTGTATAACTCCCCTTGTGTTTTCTCATTTTTGTAAACTAAATTTAGATCCGCAATTATTTTGGGTCTCTATGTTATTGAGAAGTTCGGATTTAGCACAACAGCCCATTCTGCATAGGATTCACTTGACACATGTTAGGAAAGGAATAAGCTATTAACCTACTACAAATATTTACTTTACATTTTATAATTTATTTTAAATAGGGCCAGTTTTGGTCCATTCTGCATATTGACATAACTATGACTAACACTCAGATTTGTTTGTTTGTACTATATGTGGAGAGAAATGTTGAAGATGCCTCTCTGCCTTTGAAACAGGGATTTTGTCTTGTCCCCATATTGTGTGCCCTTTCTCATCAGAGTCAGATGCAACCTAAGGACAACACTTCCCCCTTACAGTGTTATGAACAGGGCTGCAAGAAAGGATGTGTGTGTGTAGGTGTGTGAGGGTGGGGCAGGGGGAAGAGTTTACTGCTTATATGTCTATTTTTTTAAAAAATTCAGATGATTAAAGAGTCACATGCAATTTTAAGAAGTAATTCCTTGTACGTTTTTCCCAGTTTTCTCCAATAGTATCATTTTGTAAAAGTATAGGATAATACCACAACTAGGAAACTGACATTGATATAATCCACCTGTCTTATTCAGATTGTCACAGCTTTACTTAAACTGCTGTGTGTGTGTGTGTGTCATGTTAAGCTTTTAAATTCTATACAGTTTTATTGTATAGGGTCTTGTGTGTAGGGTTGTATCTACCACCACCATCAAGATACTGAGCAGTGCCAATACCACAAGGATCTCTCCTGTTGGTTAATAACTACACCCACCTCCCTTGTGCCTCACTCCCTTCATTCCTAAAATGGAAACCACTACTCTGTCTTCTCTTTCTAAATTTAATTTGTCTTCTCAAATATGTGATATAACCTTTTAGGATTGACTTTTTCAGTCTGCAAAATTCCCTGGAGAGTCAACCAAGTTGTTGAATATATCAATAGTTTGTTCCTTTTTATTGTTGAGTGGTATAGCATGGTGTGTATATACCACAGTTTGTTTAACCATTGACCTGTTGAAGGATATCAGGGCTGGTTCCGCTTTTTGGCTTTTACAATAAAGCTGCTGTGAACATTCATGTACAAGTTTTGTGTGAACATACATTTTCATTTCTCTGGGATAAATGCCCAGGCATGCAGTTGCTCGGTCATAATGGTCATTGCATATTTAGTTTAAAAGAAAACCCCAAATTTCTTTTTAGAGTGACTCTACTATTTTGCATTCCAGTGAGCAAAGTATGAGTAATACACTTTTTTGACATCTTCACCAGCATTTGCTGCTGTCACTATTTTTTAACTTTAGCCATTTTGATTGTGGAATCTCCTTATAGTTTAATTTGCATTTCCTGTTCCAGCAGTCCTGGTGTTGGAAAACAACCAGCTCTCTTTCTCATTACCTTTTACCTTCTCCTTTGCTTGCCTCTTGCACCATTTCTAGGGCTTACAGTTACGTTCATTGGAGAGGAACATAGGAAATGGATTTATGCAGTTTTGTCTGGAAACTAGAAGTTTGTGTTATCTGGTCTTCCAAAAGTGTACTCATAGAGAAATGATATAATCAGTGATTTTGAGCCCTT